CGCTCGTCGGCGGAGGGGTTCGCGAGGTTCGCCTCGGGGTCTGTCCTCTCTATCGGCCAGGGGAGTTTAGGCCTGGCGCGTGTGCGGCGGGCGGCTGTCGCCACCGTTGGTTGTTGCAGCACGCGCCTCGTTGCGGGGATGCCGCGATGCCTGACGGTGGGTGCTGCTCGCGGTGCGGTTGGGGATTTGGGCCCGACATGCTCTTGGCCGGGGGGCCCGGCGCGGCCGGGGATTTTGGCTTCCGACGCGGCCGGGGATTTTGGCCTGACGTACGTGGTGCTCCCGGCGCGGCCGGGGATTCTGGCCTGACGTGCGCGGCGGGGTTGGGTGGGGAGTTGGAGCCTGACATGTATGCGGCGGGTCGCTGCTGCAGCCGATGGTTGTTGCAGCACGCGCCTCGTTGCAGAGATCCCGCGATGCCTGACGGTGAATGATGCTTTCGGTGCGGTTGGGGGTTGAGGCCTGACGTGCTCTTGACCGGGGGCCCTGTGCGGCTGGGAATTATAGCCCCATGCGCGGTCGGGGATTTTGGCCTGACGTACGTGGTGCCTTCGGTGCGGCCGGGGATTTTGGCCTGACGTGGCGCTCCCGGTGCGGCCGGGGATTTTGGCCTGACGTGCGCGGCGGAGTTGGGTGGAGCCTGACGCGTGCGCGGCGGGTGGCTGTAGCCACCGTTGGTTGTTGCAGCAAGCGCTTCGTTGCAGAGATCCCGCGATGCTTGACTGTGGGTGATGCTATCGGTGCGGTTGGGGATTTTGGCCTGACGTGCTCTTGGCCAGGGGGTCCGGCGCGGCGGGGGATTATGGCTCCACGCGCGGCCGGGGATTTTGGCTTGACGTGGTGCTCTCGGTGCGGCCGGGGATTTTGGCCTGACGCGTTGCCCCCGGTGCGGCCGGGGATTTTGGCTTGACGTGCGCGGCGGAGTTGGGTGGGGAGTTGGAGCCTGACGCGCGCGCGGTGGGTGGCTGTTGAGTGTTGCAACCGAGGGTCCTTGCAGCGCTCGCCTCGTTGCAGAGATCCCGCGATGCTGGGCGGTGAGTGATGCTTTCGGTGCGGTTGGGGGTTTTGCCCTGACGTGCTCTTGGCTAGGGGCCCGGTGCGGCTGGGAATTAGGGCCCCATGCGCGGCCGGGGACTTTGGCCTGACGTACGTGGTGCCTTCGGTGCGGCCGGGGACTGCGGCCTGGCGTGGCGCCCCCGGCGCGGCCGGGGATTTTGGCCCGACGTGCGCGGCGGAGTTGGGCGTGGAGTTGGGGCCTGACGCGTGTGCGGCGGGTGGCTGTTGCCACCGTTGGTTGTTGCAGCGCTCGCCTCGTTGCAGAGATCCCGCGAAGATGCTGGACGGTGAGTGATGCTTTGGGGATTTTGGCCTGACGTGCTCTTGGCCGGGGGCCCGGTGCGGCCGCGGATTTGGGCGTCACGCGTGGCCGTGGATTTTGGCCTGACGTATGTGGTGCCCTCGGTGCGGCCGGGGATTTTGGCCTGGCGTGGTGCTCCCGGTGCGGCCAGGGATTTTGGCGCGACGTGCGCGGCGGAGTTGGTTGGGGAGTTGGAGCCTGATGCGTGCGCGGCGGGTGGCTGTTGCAACCGATGGTCCTTGCAGCACTCGCCTCATTGCAGAGATCCCGCGATGCTGGACGGTGAGTGATGCTTTCGGTGCGGTGGGGGATTTTGGCCTGACGTGCTCTTGGCCAGGGGGTCGGGCGCGGCTGGGGATTACGGCTCCACGCGCGGCCGGGGATTTCGGCCTGACGTACGTGATGCCGCCGGTGCGGGCGGGGATTGTGACTTGACGTGGTGCCCCCGGTGCGGCCAGGGATTTTGGCCCGACGTGCGCGGCGGAGTTGGGTGCGGAGTTGGAGCCCGACGCGCGCGCGGCGGGTTGTTGCCACCGACGGTTGTTGCAGCGCGCGCCTCGTTGCAGAGATCCCGCGATGCCTGACGGTGAGTGATGCTTTCGGTGCGGTTGGGGATTTTGGCCTGACGTGCTCTTGGCCGGGGGCCCGGCGCGGCTGGGGATTTGGGCTCCACGCGCGGCCGTGGATTTTGGCTTCACGTACGTGGTGCCTCCGGTGCGGCCGGGGATTTTGGCCTGGCGTGGTGCTCCCGGCGCGGCCGGGGATTTTGGCCTGACGTGCGCGGCGGAGTTGGGCGGGGAGTTGGAGTCTGACGCGCGTGCGGCGGGTGGCCGTTGCAACCGATGGTCCTTGCAGCGCTCGCCTCGTTGCAGAGATCCCGCGATGCTGGACGGTGAGTGATGCTTTCGGTGCGGTTGGGGATTTTGGTCTGACGTGCTCTTGGCCGGGGGGTCGGGCGCGGTTGGGGGCTACGGCTCCACGCGTGGCTGGGGGCGTTGGCCCGACGTGCGTGGCGCCCCCGGTGCGGCCGGGGATTGTGGCCTGACGTGGTGTTCCCGGTGCGGCCGGGCATTTTGGCGTGACGTGCGCGGCGGAGTTGGGTGGGGAGTTGGAGTCTGACGCGCGTGCTGCGGGCGGCTGCTGCCGCCGACGGTTGTTGCAGCACGCGCCTCGTTGCAGAGATCCCGCGACGATGCTGGACGGTGAGTGATGCTTTCGGTGCGGTTGGGGATTTTGGCTTAACGTGCTCTTGGCCAGGGGGTCCGGCGCGGCCGGGGAGTTGGGCCCCGCGCGCGGCCCGAGATTTTGGCCTCACGCACGTGGTGCTCCCGGTGCGGCCGGGGATTGTTCCCCCGCGCGGTGCCCCCGACGCGGCCGGGGATTTTGGCCTGACGTGCGCGGCGGCTTTGGGTGGGGAGTTGGAGCCTGACGCGCGTGCGGCGCTGGGCTGTTGCCACCGTTGTTTGTTCCACCATGCTGCCCGCATGCCCTCCTCCGCGTCCTCGTCCTAACCCTCCTTCCGACTCCTGTCCATGTCGCCGTTTTGGGGGATGCGCCGTGTCTGGGGCTGCGGGTTACGCGGGCGAGGAGGACGAGAACGAGGGTTACGAGGAAAACAACGGCAGGCGAGGATCGAGGAGGCAGCGTGGGGGAGGAGGAGGGAGGGAGGAGAAGAGAAGGAGTGGGGCGGCATTTCCTGAACACAAGCTGGCGGCATGTCCTGCTCGGCACCCTCGGACATCCGGCTCAGCGTAAAGATGATGTTGCCGAGCACCCCCTGAGATCCCGCTCAACGCCCACAGGCAGAAGAGGGGCGATGCTGACGCGTGGACGCGCAAGAGCATGCCGAGCCGCGGGGCTCGCATCTCCTCAGCCGCAGCTGGCTCTCCGAACGTTGTGTGAACGCGCTTGGGCTTCAGCATGCCCTGCAAGTGCGGGTCGAAATCCGCGCGTTTCCTTCTCAGACTGTGGGGGGGCTTCTTCAGGAGCTCCACCGTGGCCATCATCTCCGCCTTCCACGCGCCGAACGACATGCCAGTGGGCTGCTTCCACATGTCGGCGACGGTGACCACCTTCCCGGAGACGTCGATGTGGGTCACGCGCACTAGGGCCACCTTCCGGGGGAGAGCGAAGTATGCCAACCGGCTCGCTGGAGCGGACGTCACGGTCTCCCACGGCTGATCGGGGTGGTCGCCGCAAGCCTCCGTGACGTAGTTGCGGATGGTGAAGCCGTCGGCGGAGGGCTCTGTCTTCGGCTCCTTCGCGCCGACGATCAGCGCGAGGATGCCGGTCGCCAGCCGTCGGCCACCGCCCTCTGGGAGTGCGATGCTGATGAGGCCGCTCGGGGAGGATGAGGCCCAGTCCAGCTGCGCCGGCACCAGGCGCGCGTCGCTGGGAGGGGCGAGGTTAGTCTCCGGCAGATCGAAGTCCCGGCGGATGGCGGCCACGACGCTGAGGGACGGATCGGCGCCGTCCTTGGGGGTGTCGAACCGCACGCGCAGGCGCGCCCTCGAGAACACCAGGGAGACAGACTTTGCCTGCTCGAGGAAGTCCTCCTTGTCCGACGTGTCCGTGAGCATCAGAGCCACCTTCTCCGTCATGTCGGCCGTGACGGTGTTTGCGTAATCCGCGATGTCGACCTTCGCCCAAATGCGTGTCTGGCCCTTGGTGTGGAGGTCCTCCGTGCCCCCGCTCCGCAGGGAGATCAGGGCGCCAGTGATCTCGAAGAGCGTCTCGGCAAGCGGTCGCTTGAAGTGCGCGGCGCACTCCAGGATGCCCGCGTGGGCGCTGCAGGCTGGCCCCTCCTCCCAGTTCCGACCGCCCTCCCACTTGGACAGGTTCTCCTTGTTCTCGGTCGGCAGAGCTTTCAAGTCGGCCTTCCCGAGCTCCTTCGCGATGGGCTGGGCGCCGGACGCTACGAGCACGCGCGCGGTCTTGCGCGCCGTCAGGTGGCGACCCCCGGACTCCTCCACGACGAGGTAAGCGCCATAGATATTCAGCGGCTTGAAGGTCTCGATGCCCCTCGCCAGGTGATGGGTGTCGTCCCAGTACTTGAGCGGGATCTCATTCCCGGAGGCGTCCGAGAGAGTCACGGTGATGCACGTCTTGCCCCCCTTCGCCCCCGTAGGGCCCGTGATGTTGGTGGCGACGGCCGCGGCGTCGATCAGCTGGCCGGTTTCCAAGTCGAGCAAGTTCACGGTGGTCATCGGCGGCTCTGCCTCCGGGGGAATCTCAGTGGCAGCGGCGCCCGTAATTTTTTTCGCGGCGAGCGGCTTGTGCCCGAGGTTCAGGGTGAACGCGCGGGGGCACGACTGGAACTGGGGCTTCTTAATCTGCATCTTCATATTGGAGAACTCGAACACCGTGCCATTCGAGTACTTCTTCTCGAGCGCCTCCCGTGTCTTGACGCGCGTCTGCTCCTGGCCGAGCAGGATGGCCTCGCCCTGCGTGTGCAGCCCCGATTTGGAAACCAAGGCGCACGCGAAGACGGCCATGTTTGTCCTTGATCTCCCGCCCCTCTGGAAACAGCACGCGGGCCTGGAAGACTTTGGAAGCGGCGTTGGTGGTGTTGATCTGCTCCAGCGGGCCCGACATCGGAGCGGGCCAGGCAGCCGGGGCGGCAGGCGGGGACAGCGGCGACAGTTCACGTGAACACGCGCGGCTTGAACAGACATTGCGTCAGGACGAACGGCGACCGCGCCTCGGCGGCGACACGGTAGCGCCTCCCGCACCCAGGGGAAGCGCGGGATTCTGCTGCGGCCTTGCGCGCTATGAGGGGGGCGAGACGGACGAGACACATTTTCTGACCACCTCCCTCCGCCCCCGGGGAAGCTAATTGGCACGTGCGCGCGGCCGGGGTCTGGCAGCGGAACATCTCAGAATTCGGGGGAGCGGGGGTGGCCGCCCGTCTGGCGGGATGTCGACGAACGCTCTCCGAGCGAAGAGCTATCGCTTCACGACCGACTTCCTGGTCTCGGTCGGTTTCACAGCTGGCTTCTTCAGCGCTGCGCCCGCCAGCCGCCGACTCCAACTCCCGCTGGCGCCATACCCTGCTGAGGGGCAACGATAGGGAGGGGGCGGATAAGCCCAAGGGGGGATGCATCGACCCCAAATCACACAGGTATCGTCGATCGGGGCCTGGCTGCCCCACCCTGCCCAGAAACGCATGGTTTGGTTATCGGGGGCCCATCCCCGACCTCTCGCATATTCGAAATCGTGTTTTCAGCCTGCGAGCTGCCCCCCGCCCTATCTCATTGCCCCTCGCCTGCGTACCAGGCTGCTTGTTCGCGGGTGTGGCGCAGTTTGTACAGGTGCTTGAGTCCGCCCATCCTCTGCGGTGGCAGACGCAGCACCCGCAGGCCGCTGCGCTTGCGCACGCGGGAGACGTCGACGTAGAACCCCTTCAAATCCAAATGTGGCGGAAAAGGCCGCGGCGCGATGCTCAGGATCAGGTTGTCCTTGGTTTTCCCCTGCAGCTTGTAGTCTGTCACGGCGAAGGCGAACGTGATCGCGTGGCCGCGATGCCGGACGTTCTTAGGCATGGCCTTGACGCAGGAGAACAGGGACGTCATGTCATGCTCTTTCGGATGCTTGCTGCAGAGAATGGGCACCACGACGGCGTCGTCCACGAGGCTCTCGATCCCCGCGCCATCGTCGCCGTCTGGAAGAGAGAGTTGGACATTGATGCACAGCGGGGGTTCCTCCAGCACCATTCTCCGAAACTCGGGGCAGGGCTCGCCTTCGCGGCGGCGGGCCGAAGCGGGCGCGGGCCAGAGGGCGGCGGTCCGAGAGTGCGCCGGGCGCGCTTGCAAGTGCAAGGCCCCGCCCGCGGACGCGCCGCTCTCTTTCACTGTGGCCGTTTTGGTCGCCGCCAGCCTATGTCAAGATCTTCCCCCAGGTCCCCTTGCAATGTAAGGGAGTGCATGTACCCGCATGCCCCATTCACCAAGAACTTCGTGGGCTGTATATTCTCGGTGAGCATGGCGGGAGCGCCCCTGGCGAAGTACCCCCACAACCCGGGCTCGTTGTCGTAGGCCTCGTCGAGGTCGGCGCTGTCAAGGAGCTCAGCAGCCTTGCCTGTCAAGGGGCACTTCCAGGTGATCAGCGGAAGCTGGGAAGCCTTCGCGAAGGCTTCCACCTGCAAGCGATTCAGCTGATGCCGCTCGTAGTTGGACAGCACTGCAATGGTCGCGAAGGCCCAGGCCGGATCGGACCGCACGTCATCGGGAGAAACTTCCCTGAGATGGTTGATCAACGATGAAGGGACTGGCCTCGCAGCTGCAGCAACTCCTTCTGAAAGGTGGGGTCGTCGGCGGCCCGCATCTGCTGACTGAGGACCGTTCTGCGAGCCTGCTGACTGGCCAGACCGCCCCCCCCGCCCGGGCGCGCATCTCGCGCATGATGGGTTGTTCCGGGGGAATCGCTTCGGAAATAGGGCCCCCCAGACGGCGCCGACCTGGCGATGAAATATCAATCTTAATGCGAGCCCGGCGACAGGGGGGGGGCGGTGGGGCCAGTCGAGTTCCGAGAGCCTGTCGGAAGAGCGCTAAGCCCTTGGCCTTCGAGCTGGTCGGGTCGAGCGGAGCGGGGCCGCGCATCAACTCGGGGACCTCCGACGCGGCGAGCTGCTCGGCCATGGAGATCCCGCCAGGCGGGGGCTTCTGCCTGAAGTCGCCCACGAGGATCACGGCAATCCCGCCGAAAGGAGCGTCTGGCTCGTTCACGAGACGCCGCAGCTGCACGTCGACGTGACTGAGGGCCTCGGCGACGAGGAAGGAGCACTCATCGATGATGAGGACCAGCACGTCTTCCGGGCGGCACACAGCCTGAGTGAAATCCGCCCGAAGAGCCTGTATCGCGTCGTCCGTCATGGATGCCGCGTTCGACAGGCGGGCGAAATCGATCTTCAGGAGGGAGCACAGCGTCGGGGACCCGAGGGGCGCGGACGCGACTCCGGTCCACGCAGTGATAGCCATGACGCCCAGCTGCTGCTCGGCGATGACAGTCTTCATAGCTCCGAGGAGCACGCTTTTGCCGACGCCGCCGGCCCCTTGAAGCAGATGTATCTGCGACAGGCCGGCCGCGTCCAACATTTCCGCGGCAGTGCAGCGCGACGTGTTCGCCGCCCGCGCCCGCGCCAGGCATTGCTGCACGGCCAGGTGATCTCTGGCGAACTGCCGCTGCGGGGGGTTCAGAGGCGGAGGTGGTTTTGCTTCGCCTGCGGTGAGGAGCCTGCACTGTCGCGTCCATTCGGCCACCTCGGTCGCAAACTCCTGCTGGGTCACGTCTGCGAATGCCCGCGGGACAGAGTCAGCGTCGACGACGGGGCGGTCCTAGGCGCGCCGTGAAGCCACCTGGGGAATCTCGTCCACTGAGCGGGGGTTACTGATCGTCTGCAGCACCGCAGCCAACCGGTCTCCACTCTCCTGGAACCTCATGCTCACGCGGCCCGTCCGCGACGGGGCGTCTGCCGGCCAGGTCGGCGAGGTCGCCCTCGAGGAAGCTGTAGCCGAAAGCCGCCGTAAAGACGCGAAGTTGTCTTCGCCCCAAGTCTCGGCCTGGGCGGCCCGACTGACGGCTCGAATGTCCGCCCTGCGAGCGGCGCGAGCTTTGAGATCCGCGATGTCCTCCGCGGCCTTCCTGGGCGGCGCGCCCTGGCCGGCGTCGGCCGCGTCTGCAGCAGGGCCCAGGGGGTCATCCTTCCACAGCGTGCGGTTGCGACTCCGCCATGCGTTCATGGCCTTCGCCTGAGTAGTGCTGGAGGTGAGTGCATATCCCACTTGCTCGATTCGAAACAGACGCCCCTGGGCAATCCGACTCTGGACGTCCTCCACAGGAAGAGTCTTCCCGCGCATTCGAGTCGCGGCGGGTGGGCGCCCGGCGGCCTCGGCCTCGAGACGGGCCAGGAAGGTTTGCCAGCCGTGGAGCGTGCAGTCGACTCCTGTGGCAGTGCTTGCGTGCCAAGGCGCAAACACGGCAATGAAGTACTCCGCGTGCAATCGCTCCTTGCGCTGCCGCGCAGCCGTCGCCTCACCTCTCGCGTCTTTCAGCAGCGGCGGGATTCGCGGAGGCGGCTGCCCAACAAAGATGGGCACGTCAAACTTTGCCTTGGCTTCGATCTCGTACTGCCCTGCCAGGGGGTGCGGCTCCAGGAGTTCGTAGGTGGGGTTCGGGCGCCTCCCTGGTTTCTGGTCTCGTTGGTCCCTGCGCGCCTTCTTGGCAACCTGCATAGACATGACGAACTCGTCAAAGCTGAGGGGCAGCAGCTGCAAGGATCGGTGTGCGTAGTGCTCCGCCTGGGAAACAGCGATAGACTCCCCGTCGACAGTCTTGTAGATGCTGCACGTGCCCTGCCGGACAGGGGCGTCCAGCTGCTCGGCCGCGTCGACCACATCTGGGGCGCCCCGTTCAGCGCGTCCGCCGTGTTCCCCGCCTCCCGACGACGCGCATGCGGCAGGGGGCTCGTCGGCGACCGGGGAGGCTGACGCTGTCGACAATAGGCAGCCGCCGCGCTGGATCTCCAGTAGCAGGTGCACGGCGTCCCAAACGTAGGCGTTCACGAAGCTGTGCGAGTGGCCACTGGAAGACGTACCCAGAGCGATGGCCGCCGCCTGTGTGGGGGCGAGCTCCGTGGCGGCCGAGTTGAGCACACGTTGCAAGAAGTGTTTAGCCGCCCTGTCGCTTGTGTCAGCGTCGACTGCACTGGAAGGGTAGCGGTCAATGTGGTCTCGGGCGTCTGCGAGGACGGAGAGGGAGGCCGCCAGCTCGTAGGCGTCTTTCACCATGTACTTGCACATGTACATTCCTGCTGCCTGGGCGGACTCCCCGGCGCCCAGGAGCAACGGCGCCGTGTTGCAGCCCAAGCATCCAGACAGGATCGGGCAGTACTCCACCAGCCAAGCGTTCCGGCAGGTCATGCCGCGCCAAGCGCGCACAAGCTTGAACGCCTCCTCCTCGGAACAATCTGCCATGCGATCGCCGAGAGCGGGGGGGAAATCCCGACGCGCGAGCAGGTCGCCCAGCTCACGGCGCACGCTGGCAACAATTTTGATCGCCTCCGAGGCAGCCATGGCGTCAACGTCTGCTTCAGCGAGTCCCAGAACTTGACGCAGAGTCCGGCACGCGACGCCGTCAGCGGCGATGCGGGGCCGGCAGAGCTCATAGGACAAGCAAGCACCGGCGTCTCTGTCGGACAGCTGCGCGGGAGGGCGAGCATGGAACTTGGAATTTGCACGGCAATCGGCACACTCCCAATTCGCGCAGGCTCCCTGGGCAAGAACGCTCTCATCGGCTTCGGGGCTGTCCGCGGCAGAGTCATCGACTAACTTGACAGACAGCGCGCGCGTCTCCGGCACTGGGTGGCCTGCTGGCCGGGCCATTCGGCAGCCGTCCTTCCCTGCTGCTCCTTTGTGGCACGTGCTGGCGTGTTGATGTAGACCAGTCGTGACGGCCGTGATGGCAGCGCCGATGTCGAAGGAAAGGCTCTCCGCGTCGCCCTCCACGTTGCGCGTCTGGAAGTACGGTAACTTCGCGGCGGGCTGGCGGAGGAGGCGACGAGCCAGGTCCAGTGCATGGATCTCCGGGGAAACGTAGGCGCGGCACACGGTGTCCCAGGCCCGACACACCAATGCCTGCAACGCCGGGAAGCCGGCCACGTCGGCCAAGAGCGCGGGGGAGGCGCCGGCGTGGACGGAGGCGTGGAAATGGAAAGACTTCTTGTGGTTCGTTTCGTGCACGAAGCTCCAGCCGAAAGATGTGCCGAGGAAGCCCCTAGGTACGCTCTCTGCGTCAACAGTCTTCTTTTTCCGGTGATTGGGGGGCAGGCCCACGAGCTCTGCGAAGATAGACTCAGCCATCTGTTCGTGCACCAGGGTGGTGGCCACTGGGTTCATGGTTGCCAGCGTCTGCAGGAAGGATCCGTCCAAAGCGAGCTTGTGCGATGCATCTGGCGCGCACGCCAGGGAGTCCTCGCAGAATCTCTGGACGGCTTCTTCGCTTGCATCTCCGTGGAGGACGGGAAGTAGAGTTGCTGGGCAAGTGGGAAATGCGTCGGCCCGGCCAGCGCGGTAGCTCAGCTGGATGGCCTTGCAGAGGGGCTTCTGCGCTGGCGACCGCGCGCCCGGTTCGCAGGTGATCTCCGCCGACGGCAAACGGCGGCCCGATCGCCCAGAGCGTGGAGACGCTGCAGCCAGCCCACGGCCTGGCGCGTCGCCACTGCTCCTCGAAGAAGGCCCCCGCTGCCCCCGGCGCAGAGACGCCGCGACCGGCGGCCACGTCGCGCGGAGGCCCCTGACCTTGGGTTGGTGGACGCCGTCGGGAGCGCAAGTGAGGAAGGCGGAGGCAGGGCCGAACCGACGCCACATGGCATACAGCTTTGTAATCTCACCGGCTCGATCTTCTCCGCTCCACGGCACCACCTTGCCCGCGGTTGCCGTGAAACGCATGACTTGCTTCAGGAGATCTCGTGCGCCTTTGCTTGTCGGGTCCTCTTCGGCAGCCCGCGCGCGCTCCACGTAGGCGCCCTGTCGGCCATCATGCTCGCGAACGCCTGGAAACTATCCGGTCAGTCTTGACGCGCAGCCCGACGCCCTTGGCGGCAGCATGCCTCTGAATCTGATTGGCAAGCAAGAAAAGGAAGCTTGGCTGCTGTGCGAAAGCGTTGTGGAACTGCGTGAGCAGGTGGCGGGAATCGTGGAAGTTCACCGAGCCTTTGGAACGCAGTCCCTGACGCAGAGGGAACAGGTACCAGAATGCACCGTACAGGATGTCATCGTTATTTGTGAACTCGTTCATGGGCCGCAACTCCCGCGCGCACGTGCGCTCCCGCAGGATGTCGTCGGTTCCGTCCCCAAGTCCGGCGTCGCCCCCGCCCAACGGCTGCTTGGGCGCGTCGTCGCCGTGCTCATCAGATCCTCCTTGTAGGACGCCCATGAGACCGTCGAAGATGGTGCCTGTGACGGGATCTGTAGTTTGCGCGAGCACGCCGACTGGATCAAGGCTGACTGAGGGCCCCTGCTCTTCAGTGGAAGGCGCGGGGAGGTGCACGGCTTGGATGTCCTCGTGCATTGCCACGTCTCTCGCGTTCGCTACGTCAGACGGCTTGCTGGCCTGTTCAACAGCGTCGTCGGCGACGTGCCGAGCCCTGGCAGCGAGCCGCGCTCGCAAGGACGCGAGCAGGCTCCCCAGGTCATCGACAGACGGCCGGCTGATGTCGGAGACGTGCCCGAGGACACGTCGCACAGCAAGGTGGTTGTAGAGGACGTGTGTGCGCATCTGCAGCGCAGGCACAGCCAGGGCCCGACGCTCGAGGTCCGTTGTCTTTCCGTTGGGCCCAACGAACACCAGCTGCACGTTAGCCAAGAGGTTCGCCAAACGAGCGTCGTCGAAGTGCTTACCCAACACAGCCGGTCCGTCTCGGAGGAAGGAGATCATGTGGCCGCGGAGCAGCGTACGGGACGCCTGCGTTGCGCGGCTGCGCGGCACGTGAACTTTAGCCACGGGACTGCACGCGCGAACGTCAGCCAGAGCGAGAGCCTCGAGTTCGGAAGGGGCATCCATGCCGAGCCGACTGAGGAGGCCAAAGTCCACGCCAGCAGCTATCGTGAAAGGCGGTGGAGGTGCGCTCTTTTGGACGGCTGCTCTAGAGCACACAGGGCACAATAACACGAAGTGCTGACCCTCGCCACCATCGTTTACTAGCTCTGGGTGCACGTGGAAGACGTTGCCTCGAGGGTCCCGCCAGTGGCTCTTCAGCAAAGATGTTTCGACGACGCGGTGGGCGCCATCTTCGTTCACCAGCGTGACGGCTGGCATACTGTTCAACGTCTGCATGTCGGCTTCGGAATATCGTATCCAGTGGTCTGCAGGAAGAGGCTCCAACGTGCACGTCCCTTCGGCGGGGTGCTGGGGATCCCGGCGCCCGCAAGTCCCGCATCCTGGCAGGAGCGCGTCGTGGGACATCGCGTCGGCATAGGACGAGACAAGTCTGCGCTTGTCCTCCTCCGTGACAGTGCAGTACTGAAGCACGTCGTCAGCGATCCGCTGCGCTAGCCGGTCTGCGGGAGGCATGGTCGCGGACGTGTCGCGGAGGCGCCGAGAGTGTCTGGAGACTTGATACCCGGATTCCTCGTGGAGGCGGTCCAGCAATGCGAGGGCGTCTGCAGGGTCAGGAAGAGCGCGTCGTTTCTGGTCGCGTTCTGTCTTCTTGCGGGCAGCGTCACGCTCCTGTTCCAGCTGGAGCAAGGCCGGGTCGTCGCGCTGTGTCTTCATGCGGGCAGCGTTGCGCTCCTGTTCCCGCTGGAGCAAGGCCGGGTCGTCGCGCTGTGTCTTCATGCGGGCAGCGTTGCGCTCCTGTTCCCGCTGGAGCAAGACCGGGTCGTCGCGCTGTGTCTTCATGCGGGCAGCGTCACGCTCTTGTTCCCGCTGGATCAAGACCGGGTCCTCCCGGTACGCTCTCTTGCGGGAAGCGAGACCTGCGGGCCCCAGCCGGAGTGCGGAATAATGTTCGTGGCCTCTGCTGCGCTCGTCTAGCTCCAAGTGCACGGTCTGCGGGGTTGGACTCGTCGTAACCGGGGGGTATGAAGACTGTCGGCCGTTGAGCAGAGTCGCGCATCCATACGGCAATAGGTCGGCTCAGAAACCTGCATGCTGCTTGCAGTGAAACGTTGCCCCCCCCCAAGCACCGTGATCTGCTCGCCAGAGCCACCTGGATAACTGTGCCGACGGGCGTGGCCCCGCGCAGAAGTCACGGAAATAGGCTGGGTGGGTGCGGACGTGCTCGATTACCTGTTGTCGCATCTGGACGTGGCCTTGAAACCCGCACCCTCGGCCCCGAACTTGGACCGAGACTGAACGGTACTGGCAGTGGCCGTCCCCTGGGATATCAACTCGTTGAAGCAGGTGCCGCACTCCCTGGAGCTGCTGGGACAGAACGGCCGCCATCGCCTCTCCAGCCGCCTGAGGGCGCCAGAAAGGTGGAGGCAGTCGAGGACGGATGTGAAAGGAAGGGGTAGGGTTGCCACACTTTTCAATTTGCTTGTGATTTGGGGGTGGTGCTTAGGGGGGAGAAGAGCGTTGCCGCGGTTGAATCAACACGTGTCGGGTAGGACGCTGAGGCGGCGACGTCGCCCATGACGCCCCTGGTGGCTGTGCGCCGCGAGGCGCCGAAAAGGTAAGCCAAGCGACTACGGAGTAGAGGTAGAATAGGGAAAGAGGAATTGTGAGTATACTGAGAAGGAGAGGACTGGGATGGAGAGAGGGAGGCATGGACGGGAGGATGGAGTGAGGGGGGCGCAGATGTTGAAGAGGCAATGGGGGAGGGATGAACGGCAGGAGTGAAGCTGAGAGTGAGGGCTGGAGGGAGGGCGGGTGCGCCGAGGGGTCGTGACCGAGGGGTTGAAGGAGGGATGGGCGGTGGGATGGCGTAGAGGGGAACGGGGGGAGGCGCAGGAGGGAGGGCCGGAGATTTAGGCCCGATGCCCGTGCTGTGGTGAAGGGAAAGCTGGGCGGAGGTATGGGGGGGGAGAAACGTGAAGGAAGCAATGGATTGCCGCAGGGCGCCCTCTCGAGCAGATGTTGGGGCGCAGAATCTAGGCCTGCAGCGGCCAGTCGGGGCGGCTGGGGCGCCCCAGGAACGCTGTCGACGAAGCGCAGCTGCAGGGAGCATTCCGAAGCGAGATGAACTGCGACACCGAGAAACACCGTTGTCCCCTCTCGCCTTCTGTCTACGTCGGGCCCTTCCGCTGAAAGCCGGGTTCCTGAACCTCTCCTGTGTTCCAGACGTGCCAGTGTTTCGAGCTGCGTTCAGCCGTGGCGACGTGGAGACCCAAGCCAAACAAACTCAAGCCTCGCTTGTTGAGGCTGCAGGTTCAAACCTGCTGGCTGGCTCTGTCCAGTGGACTGACTCATCAATGCAATGCTAGTGCGTTGGGAGACTCGACGGGTTTTTTCTTCTTTTTGCGCCCGGGGAATGTGTCTTGACGTGCGTGGTGGCGTTTGCTAAGGAGTGTGGGTATCTGTGTCTGCGGTGAGGGGCTGTTGGCTGTCGCCTTGCGTCCGGGGATTTGGGCCTGACCTGGTTGGCGTCATTCTCAGGGGTGTCGGGGCTGACGTGTATGCCACGGGTGGATGCTCGCGGTGCGGCCGGGGATTTTGGCCTAACGTGCGTGTTGTTCTGCGCTTGGATGGGGATTCTTGTTTGGCGTGTGTGCGGCGGGTGGGGGCGTTGACTTGACGGATGCGTGTGGTTGTTGTTGCCGTGTGGGCGGGGATTTTGGCCTAACGTGCGTGTTGCTCTCCGGTTGGATGTGGATTTGTGCGCGGCGGGTGGGAGTGTTGACTTGACTGATGCGTGTGGTTGTTGTTGCCGCGTGGCCGGGGATTTTGGCCTAACGTGCGTGTTGCTCTGCGCTTGGATGGGGATTCTGGTCTGTCGTGAATGCGGCGGGTGGGGGTGTTGAGTTGACGTCTGCGTGTGGTTGTTGTTGCCGTGTGGTGTTGCCGCTCCCTCGGCATGGCGGGACCACCGTGGTGCTTGACGGAGGGTCGCGCTCGCCTTACGTCCGGGGATTTTGGCCTGACCTGGCTGGCGTCATTGTCAGGAGTGTCTGGGCTGACGTGTATGCCACGGGTGGATGCTCGCGGCGCGGCCGGGGATTTTGGCCTAACGTGCGTGTTGCTCTGCGCTTGGATTGGGATTCTTGTCTGGCGTGTGTGCGGCGGGTGGGAGTGTTGACTTGACGGATGCGTGTGGTTGTTGTTGCCGTGTGGCCGGGGATTTTGGCCTAACGCGCGTGTTGCTCTCCGATTGGATTTGGATTTGTGTGCGGCGGGTGGGAGTGTTGACTTGACGGGTGCGTGAGGTTGTTGTTGCCGTGTGGCCGGGGATTTTGGCCTAACGTGCGTGTTGCTCTGCGCTTGGATGGGGATTCTGGTCTGTCGTGAGTTCGGCGGGTGGGAGTGTTGAGTTGCGGCCAGGGATTCCTGCCCAACGCGCGTGTTGCTCTCCACTGGGATGGGGATTCTGGTCTGGCGTGTGTGCGGCGGGGGGGGGGTGTTATCCTGACGGATGCGTGTGGTTGTTGTGGCCGTGTGTCGGCTCTCCCTCACGATCTACGTGAGGGTGGCCACCGGTTTTCAGAATTTCGAGGATGTCCCTAGCGAAACGGCCAGATTGCTCAAAGATGGTTCGACAAAGGCCCGATTTGGGGAGGGTGTCTCAGGCGAAACGGCAAGTCTCGTATAGAGGAGGTCAAAATCATTGGAAATACACTGTGTTTTTGAAGGTTTGATGTAGAAATGGTTGAATTCCTATGTGTTTTTGGACCTCTCCTTCACGATCTGCGTGAGGGGCGCCACCGATTTTCAGAATTTCGAGGATGTCCCTAGCGAAACGGCCATTAAAATCAAAGACGGACGCACGCACGGACGCATTCATCCCCTCTGAGCTCTACTCCCTCGGAGAGGTGCGTATGAGAATATATATATATATATATATATATATATATGAACAGCTCCCCCCCCCCCCGCGCCAGCACCCGCTCTCCGCAGCATTCGCGGCCAACGTGTTTACTAACATCCTTCTCGTTTGCCTCTTCTTCTCTTCTCATATCCTATTCTGCATCCCTCTTCCCCCCCCCCCCCAATCTCTGCATGCTTCCCAGCGTGCAGGCGTCGGCTATTTTCTCTCGCATCTGATGGCGGCGCGGCGCGCGCTCGGCCACAGCGCGCCGCGGAGGGCCAGGGGGCGCCGTCCTCCCAAACGGAGGACATCAGCTTGTAAGAACCAGCGCGCCAACACGTCGGATCACCAAGCCTTGCGTTTTCATGTGGATGTTTTGGGTTTCTGGGATGGGAATCAACGAAACCCTTCGTTTTCATTTTGATTTTTTTGATTTTGGGGATTTCAGGCCCCGGCGAAACCTGCACCGCCGCTCCCCCCCAGGTCGGCGCGCTCAGAATCCAAAACATCAAAATGAAACACAGGGTGCGCGAGGTCAGGGGTCACCAAACCTTTTGTTTCCATGTGGATTTTTTTCGGTTTCTGGCCAGGAAATCAACGACACCCTGCGCTTTCATTTTTTTTATAGTAAAAAATGTGATTTCAGGCCCCGACGAAACCTGCGGCGCCGCTCCTCCCCCGGGACGGCGCCCCTAGAGTCCAAAATATCCAAGTGAAAACACAGGGTGCGCGAGGTCAGGGGCCACCAAACCTTGTGTTTTCATGTCTGGATTTTTTGGTTTTCCCTGATGGGGATCAACTAAACCTTGTGTTTCCATTTGGCGTTTTATATTTGTTTGATTTCAGGCCCCGACGAAACCTGCACCGCCGGCGCTCTCCCAAGTCGGCGCCTTCAGAATCCAAAAACTTCAAATGAAAACACATGGTTCGGTGACCCCTGACCTCGCGCACCCTGCGTTTTCATTTGGATTTTTGGGGTTCCGAGGGCGCCGACCTGTGGGGGGGGCGGCGGCGCAGGTTTCGTCGGGGCCTGAAACCCCCAAAATCAATAAAATAGAAATGAAAACAAAGGGTTTCGTTGATTCCCATCCCAGAAACCCAAACATCCATGTGAAAACACAGGACTCGGCGATCTCTGACCTCGCGCACTTTTTGTTTTCATTTGGATTTTGGGGGATTCTGGGGGCGCCGGCGTGGGGGAGGAGCGGCGGCGCAGGTTTCGTCGGGGCCTGAAGTCGCGCAAATCCCAAAAGTCAAAATGAAAACACGAGGTTTCGTTGATTCTTAGGCTTACGCCACACCGCCGACCCCTTGTTTATGCCAATCTGGGGGTAGTAGAAGCTGCGAAGGGGTGAAAAGGCGAGTGATATTTGTTTGGTGTCTGTTCGCCGCCACCGCCAGAGGGTCTCGGGCAGTTCCGCGGGGGGGTCCGAGCGGACGGCGACACCGCGGGCGGTCGTGGTCTCATCTGGGGCCATCTGAGAGGCATAATGGAGCCAGGTTGGGCTCGGGAATGTCTTCGAGCCGTTTCGGTAGCGGTCGGGAGTTTTTTTGGGGGACTGCCCAGGAGTCATGATGGGTCAACTTGGCCATGTGCGAGGCCACGGCGCGTGCAAAGGGTGTGCCGGCATGGGGCCTATGGCAGGCAGTTTGGAACCACTTGGGGGCCCAGGTGGAGGAAAAGGAGGAGGAGGAGAAGGGGGACACGGAGAAACGGCTCTGGGTTATGGGTTATGGGTGAGAGGCTTCTTGTATGTGTATCGGGATCTCGCGGATCGCTTCTCGGGGGCCTCTGGAAGCGAGTTTTGGAGCCACTTGGGGGCCGTTTCGGAGCCTCTGGGGTGCTTCTTGGGGGTTCCTTGGGGCGTCTGGGCGGCCTCGTGAGGGCCTCTGGGGGCCTCTTGGGGCACTCTTGGGGCCCCCTGGGGCTCCTGGGGGCAGAAAGCTAGAGTTTCAACATGTTTGGTCGCCCTCTTGGGCCCCTCTTGGTGCCGTCTTGGAGCCCTCTTGGGCCGTCTTGGGGACCTCTTGGGCCGTGTTGGGGCCGTCTTGGGCCGTCTGGAGGCCGTCTTGGGGGCCTCTTGGGCCATCTTGGGGCTGTCTTTGGGGCCTCTTTGGCCGTCTTGGAGCGTCGGGAAGCCGAAAAGGCGGAAAAGCAAAAAACATCGAAAAACACTATGGAAAATCAACAATTTTAGACTCTTGGGGCCCTCTTGGGAGGCTTGTTTGGGACCTCGGGGGCCGTCTTGGAGACCTCTTGGCCCGTCTTGGGGCCATCTTGGGCGTCTTGGAGCGGTCGTTTGGCGTCTCGGGGCCTTCGTGGGCCGTCTTGGAGGCCTCTTGGGGGCTTCTTGGCCCGTCTTGAGGCCCTCTTGGGCCCGGAAAAGCCCCGTGAACCGCTCGTCCCGGCCGTGCTGCGCTCGTCCCGGACCCCCCCCGCTCGTCCCGGACCCCGCCCCCCCCCCTCCAAATCGACCGGACCGGGCTCCCGGGGAGGGGTTTGGGGAGGGGGAAGCATCTCACACGCCGATGATCCCCACCCCAAGGGGTCGGCGGATTCCCATCCCAGAAATCCCAAACTTCCAAATGACAGCACCAGGTTTGGTGACCCCTGACCTCGCGCACCCTGTGTTTTCATATGGGTTCTTGGGATTCTGAGGGCGCCGACCTGG